GGGCCCCCACAAGCCTCTCCAGTGGAGGGGCAGTGTGACTGGGCCCTTGCTCCTCTGGCTGCTCCTGGCTGACCCTTGGTCCTCAGTGGTCTCTTTGGCTGTGTAGTGGCCCTGCTTCAGCCACCAGGCATCCGTGCACTGTGCTCTCGGGGCGAGCTTTACTTGGCACCTACACGAGAGGCCCTGTGTTGAGTACCTTTCGTTTCTCTCTGCACCTCACACTAACCCTTCTGCTCCTGTCTGTATTCTTTTACTATTTTTTTTTTTTGAGAGGGATATTTGCTATAGGGCGCATGCACTTGCCAGAGAGACAGACAGAAAGCAAGAAATCACTCCCCAGGGAGGATGGCCACTCCATAATCCCATCTCCTCCCCTCTTCTCTCAGGGTTTTGAGCACGCACACACACGTGCACTGGCGTGAGTTTTAAGCTGCCGGGTGCAAGACTTGAACAGTGGCGGACTACATGGTGATCCAGTGACGTACCGTTATGCTGCCCACTGGCCCCTGTATCATTGCTTTCACTGACACGGAGTAATTGTACATGTCTATGGGGCGCACAGGGTAGTTTTAGTACTTGAACACAGTGTGTAATGGTCAGGTTGGGATAATGGTCTGTTTATCGGCACTTTGGAAACCTTCAAAATTGTCTTTTAGCTGTTTTTACTTATACAGTCTGTTGTCGCTGCAGCCAGCCTTACGGTCAGGTGTTCGCTGCAGCCAGCCTGCCATGCTGTGGGTCTCTGGGACTCAGTCCTCGTGTCCAGCTGTGATTTGGGATGTGAACCAGTATCTCCCCATCCCACGCCCCACTGGCCTTTCCAGCCTCCCGTAACCACATTCTCTACATGTCGTCGTTTTTTCTAACGGGTATCTGAGAGAGAGAGATAGGGAGTGGGAGGGAGGGACGCCTTGTCCCTTCCACCTTGCCCTCCTTTCAGGATTCAGGGACATGTGCACATGCACCCAGTGTTGTTTCTCAAGCTGCTATGTCTGAGGCTTGAGCCACGTGGTTGGTCCTGTGGGACCCTGCTGTCCTAACCACTGGACCAAGAAGCTGGCCCCGTAGTCTCCACTTCTGTGAGAATAGCTTTTGTAGTTTCCACGTTTGAGGGAAGATGTGAGGCTTTTCTCTTTTTTTCTGGAGAGGTTTTTGCTATAGGGTGCATGCGCTCATCAGACAGACAGAGACAGAGAGACAGAAAGCGAGAAATCACCCCCCAGAGGGAATGGCCACGCCACAATCCCTTCTCCATTCTCCTCTCGGGATCTTGGGCACGCATGCACACACGCCCGGCGTGAGTTTTAAGCCACTGGGTCCAGGTTGCAAACCATGGTCGACTACATGGGAGTCCAGCGACATAGCCATTACACTAACTGATGGTCCCAAGGGCTTTTCTCTTTCTGTGCTTGGCTGGCTTCACGGCACATGGTGTCCTCCAGGCTCATTCTGTCACTTCCTCTCTGAGTAACACCCCACCTTGTGTCCCCATTTCCATATCTGTTACAGTAGTCTTTTCGAAGGGACTCAGAACGATTCTGCATCTTGGCTGTGGAAGTGTGGCGGGATGCACAGAAGCGCAGAAATCTCCATGCACCCTGGTTCCTTTCCTTTGGACAGATGTCAGTAGACCTGAATACAGCTCCTGGGGTACATGGTGTGGCTGGATCCCGTGGCAGTGTGGTGGTAGCTTGTGAGCACGTCCACGCTGCTTCCCATGGTGGCCGTCCTGCTGTGCAGTCCCACTGACGGCCACGCTAGCCTGTGGGCTGGCAGTCGTCCTCCTTGCTCCGTGATGTGGCAGTTGAGCCTGGGCAAAACCTGCCTTGGGGAGTGAGGAGATGGGATTGGCCGAGACCTGAGCCACACCTGAGTCCACAGCCATGCCGTCCCCCACCTGCTGCCTCTCAGGAAGCGCTGAGGGAACAGGCAGGGGCCCCACGCAGAGCCCCAGTTCAGGGAGGAGTGGACCTACTGGGAGAGCCTGGCAGCAGCCAGCCCAGATGTCAGGTGGAGCACATCCCTGCTGTGGCAGGAGGAAACGTTTTCTCCTGTAATTAGTGTGCATGTTTCTCTTATTTATTTATTTATTCATTCATTTATTTTTGAGAGGTTTTTTTGCTATAGGGCACGTGCGCTCGCCAGACAGACAGAGACATAGAGACAGAAAGTGAGAAATCACCC